CTTGCCGGTCCGAAGCTTGCCGGGTCAATACTTGCCGGGCGGCAAGGAACTTGCTTGCCGATCCGAGGCTTGGCGGGGTCTGGCTTGGCGGGCGGCAAGGACCTTGCTTGTCTATCCGAGGCTCGCCGGGGTCTGGCTTGGCGGCCCCAGAGACTCTGCTGAAGTGGCTTGGACTCGATCCCGGGCAAGGTCTCGACTCCGCCAGACTCGTCTACCTGGCAGGGGAGGCCTTCCTGGGGGATCTTCTTGTTGGTTTGCTTGAGTGTTGATCCATGTTGCGGGAGAGACACTCCCCGCGCGGTAGTAGTGCTTGCCGGCGAAATGATTGTCGGGCATTGCTGAGCACTGTCATGGCCCATCTTCAGAGGTTAGTGGGACCGTAAATCTCATTACATCGACACAGCCCCCGGGCCTAGTTTCAGCGGAGATCTCTAAGAGTTCGACGCTGGAGTTGGGGCCAAATTTTGCACGGGTCATGATAGTGTTTAACCACGTTTCCCCAAAAAAGTTGCTTCGAAAGGCGTTGTCCAGCCCCCGAGTCTGCTTCCATGGAAATTTTCTGGCAGATAACTCTACAGATCTTGATGCTAGAGTGTGGTTTTGTTTCCTTTCTTGCTCCCGGCAAGGCTGTTGCCGGGAAGTCTTATATTTTCAGCGGAGCCTTTTGACGTTCTCGACGTCGGCTTCCGGCAAGCTTGTCACCAAGAAGGCTTTTACCTTTAGCAGAGAACTTTGACATTCGCGAGGCCCAATTTCAGTGGAGAACTCCGGAGTTCTCGACACCACTGGGAAGGCTCATGGCGAAGAACTTCTCGTCCTTGACACCGGCTCCCGGCAAGATCGTTGCCGGGAAGGCTTATGGTGAAGAACGTCGTCGTTCTTGACACCAAAAAGATTGGTTCTAAGGGCGTTGTCAGCCCTCGGGCCATAACTGCGTTTAAATATGACAAGTAAATTAGTATCCAAAAAGGCACTTAACTTGGGCAGAACCTTATTTATGTAAATGGAAATCCCAAGGAGGAAACTTTAGATGATTCTGTTTTTGCACAGTTGTTCCCTACGCTTGCCGGAATGCATCTCCATCGCGCACGTCCTAGTCAATGGCACTTAGGAACGGATCCTAGTTAGCAGCCTATCGAGGACGCCGCCTTTTCAAGAGCTTCACACTCCAAGAATAAACGTGGGTGCATGGGTGTTGCTAGGCGGACCCGAACAACACGGAGCGTAGAATGTCTCAAGGGTGCTCCTTCGCGCATAGGTTATGTGCAAAGAACGTCAACAAGGGTGAATTAAATCAGCAAAAAGCACTAAAGTTTTAGGACTTAGTTTTTTCCCGAAGTGTGGTGATAGCGAGGAAACAACATTGTTGGTGAAGAAATTCGGCCGCCTCCGCCTTCATCTCCGACCATGGTGGGCACAGTGACTGCGTCGCCTACGCTGGTCATGCCAACCACGACATCCATGCCGCCCGTAGCGGTGGCACCGCCTGCGCCACCTGCGGATGCGTGCGGAGGAATTCTGGAGGCAGAAGGCTCCATCGTCATGGTGCCCGTCTTCTTAGGCGCCATTGATGATGAAGATGTCGATGAAGAAAATGATGGCGAAGAAGTTGGAGAAAATGACCCGTTGGCTGCTAGATCAGGTTTGCAGAACTCTCTCCCCCTACCTAGCGCGCCAAAGATGTCGGGGAAATGACACCTGCAGGACCACGAGGATCCCTTCTACGGTTTGGCAGGGAAGAGGAGTGGAGCAAAGAGCAGATCTAATGGTCAACACGAGGGATCTTTACCCAGGTTCGGGCCGCTCGGAAGCGTAAAACCCTAGTCCTGCTTGAGTGTATATCTGTGTTCTTGAGCTCTGGCTCCAGGAGTGCTATGTGAGGAACAATACACAGCAGCTACCCGTTTGAACTTGG